ATATAAATCCCTAAATTTCGTTTGAAAATGGTTTTATCTACTCTTAGCTTGGATGTGATTTCTAGACATGATTCAAGTGAACCTTTTCTCTCTTAAGAAATAATTTTCAATATGGCCTTGCGGGGGCGCTATACTACCACATTTTTTCCTGTGGAACATGTGGACAGTTTGGGCAAACCAGAGAACATTTGCAGTAAACAGTTTTTTAGCTCTGCTGTCGACTTTGTCGAGCGGAGCTTATCATATGAGTGATTGTCCGTTGTCGTCGTCGTCCGTGTCAATGTTTAACTTTTTCGACTTCTTCTTGAAAACTACTAGCCTGAATGCTTTGATACTTGGTGTATATGTACCTTGGGTAGACCTCTCTTCGGTTTGTTCATTTTATGTTGATATCTTAAATTCTCTAATTTTGGTGAATATTTTTGTCATTTTTGGTAAAAAGTGATATTTGCGACTTCTTGTTAAAAACCGCAAGTCCAATTGCTTTGATATTACATATATAGGTACTACATGTGGACCTCTCTCAGATTTGTTCATTTTGTAATGATATCTTTAATTCTCTAATTTTGGTGAATATTTTTGTCATTTTTGGTAAAAAGTGATATTTTCGACTTCTTGTTAAAAACCGCAAGTCCAATTGCTTTGATATTACATATATAGGTACTACATGTGGACTTCTCTCAGATTTGTTCATTTTGTAATGATATCTTCAATTCTCTAATTTTGGTGAATATTTTTGTCATTTTTGGTAAAAAGTGATATTTTCGACTTCTTGTTAAAAACTGCAAGTCCAATTGCTTTGATATTACATATATAGGTACTACATGTGGACTTCTCTCAGATTTGTTCATTTTGTAATGATATCTTCAATTCTCTAATTTTAGTGAATATTTTTGTAATTTTTGGTAAAAAGTGATATTTTTTACTTCTTGTTGAAAACAGCAAGTCCCATTGCTTTGATACTATACATATTGTTCATTTTCTAATGATATCTTCTGTTCTTTAATTGAAATGTGCATTGCTAACAGCGGAGCAATCTCAGCCAACAGGCTGCTTGTCATACATACATGTACATTGGTACATTGTTATATTAGTAGATTACATTTATTGACTATCATGAACACATAGTGTAGTATGCTTTCAATCTCTGACACATGATGTACTCGTACATTAGTATTATCCAATTGTCAGTATACATGTAATGAAATCAGTCTGTCTGGCTGTGGTAATGAAGAGACATTTTATCTTGCCAGGTTGACATATTCATTTTTAAATTATCACTTTTTGTTATCATCCACTGTCAAATTTAATTACAAAAGTTGCTATAAATTTGTTATATGTATTAAAATGCATCTTGTTTTGCTCGAAAAAATGTTGTGGAAATGCAAGGAATAATTTTGTTGCATATTGTAAGCAAAGTTTTGTCTGCTGTTCTGTGTATTGTGTTTCAGCCACTCAAATATACATGTATATAGTTCAAATTTTACACACAAAAAGTGAAGACATTCCAAAGTTGTGTGTGTTCGTATTCCAGATAAATATTTACTTGTGTAACTAAAATTTACTTGTGTATGGTTTTAAAACAGGGTTCTACTCATCTTTTTTCACCATAGAAATGAAAAGATGAGTGTAGAGTCATTAGAATTATAGCATGTATTGCATGCATAATGAGTGGAGTATGTAGTTAGGAACCCAAGCCCAAAGGGCTAGGCCCCTATTATTATCGTCCGTTTTTTTTTTTTTTTCTTCCACTTCTTTTTTTCTTTCTTTCTGTTTTTTGAGTATTGTGATTAGTCAATTAGTTCGGCAGCCATTTTGGATTGAAATGAAACTGGAAGTTGCTATTTGAACATTTTCTGAGGGTGTAGGCAGTTAGATTTTCACTTTGGCATAAACTTGTTAGTAATAGATATTGGAAAAAAAACTTTTTCCGCCATGTTTTTCCCCCAAAAAATATGAAAAACACTTTTAAATCACCAATTAAATTGCTCTCATATATGGTATTTTATCGTCTATATGTGACACATATTTGAATTTGAAAAATTAGTCTTGATTGTCGCATGGTTTGGCCGCCATTTTGGTT